TAATCATTAGATATTAAAATATTATAATTTTTCTATAATATTTTATAGCCAATTTATACCTATGCTTTAAGGGATAAGGGTATATTTTGTTTTTTATATTTAATTATATTTATTATAATTTAAATTTAATTAAGTTTATTTATTAATATTAATTATTTAGAAAGTAAATAATTTTATTAATTATTAATAGTAATTTCATTTACAAAATAATTTAAATATAAACTAAAAATATAATCATTAATAATTTAGATTGTAAATTATTTTTATTGATTATTTATAATAATATTATTAATATTTATTTAATATTTTAGATAGTAAAATATTTTATTGATATTTTATTAATTTTATATTTATTAAATTTTTTTTTTAAAAAAATATTTAATGTTTAATATTTAGAAGGTAAATCATTTATATTAATTATTTATATCTGATTATACTTTATTTTAATTAAGTTTTTTTATTTAAAATTATTTAATTATTAATATTATAGGAGGTAAGTCATTTTATTAAATAAATTAAATTTTTTATAATTTTCAGTTTTAAAAGAAATCCAAAAATGTTTCTTTTCAATGAAAGAAACCTTTTTGGCTCTAAAAGAGTTCTAAAAAGTCATTCTTTTTCATTAAAAGGAATCTTTCAGCTTTAAAAGAGTTCTAAAAAAGTCATTTTTTTTATTGAAAGAAACCATTTCAACTTTAAAAGAGTTCTGAGAAGTCATTCCTTTTCATTGAAAGCAACCTTTTCAGTTCTAAAAGAGTTCTAAAAAGTCATTCCTTTTTATTGAAAGAAACCTTTTTAGCTCTAAAAGAGTTCTGGGAAGTCGTTCCTTTTCATTGAAAGGAACATTTCAGCTCTAAAAGAGTTCTGAAAAGTTATTCCTTTTCATTAAAAGAAACCTTTTTTTTAATGAAAGGAACTTTTTAGTTCTAAAAAAGTTCCAAAAATTCGTTTCTTTTCAATAAAAGGAACTTTTCAGTTCTAAAAGTGATCTAAAATTTCGTTTCTTTTCAATGAAAGGAAACAAATTTTTGGCTTAAAAGAAGTCTGAAAATTTGTTCCTTTTCATTGAAAAGGAACTTTTCGGCTTTAAAAAAGTTAAATTCAGATCTGAAAAATCAGATCTTAATTTGAATCTGAATCTGAATCTGACAGATCAGATCTGATCCAAATCTGAATCTGAATTAGATCTAAATCTGATCTGTCAGATTCAGATTGGATTCAGATTGATCCAAATCTATGCAGAATACTAATAGGAAGTAAGTAATTTTTTTAATATTTATATTTTAATTTTATTTAATATAATTTAAATTTATCTATAATTTTTATTTATCAATTATTTAATAATTTAGATAGTAAGTGATTTTTTATTAATAATTATTAAATTATAATATTCTTAAGATTTTATTGTATAATACTTAACAAAATTTATAATAAATATGTTAAATATATAAGTATTATTTATTTTTATTATTTAAATTATAATAATAAATATATTTATTATATAAATTATAATATAGAAAAATAGGTATTTGTTTAAAATATAATAAAGAAAATACTGAATATATTTGATATAAAATATGTTATTCTAATTTATTTCAACAAGATTTTTCTAATTAGACTAATAAAAATCAATTTATTGATAAATTTATTTAAAAAACTCAATTAAATGCTCAAAATAAAATATAAAAATTAGAATGAATTTCTTATAATAAATTTAAAAATATTGAATATTTTGATGGAAGGATTTAGTATTATTTATAAAGCTATTTAGATAGATGGATTTATTAAATCTTATTCTTATAATGAAAAAAATTGGATTAGATCTGGTGAATTTTATATATCTTTTAAAAGTCTTAAAAATTCATCAAATTTAAATGAAGAATTTTAAAATGAAGTAATTAATTAAATTATTTAATAATTTTTTTTAATTTTATTTGATATAAATTTGATCTAATAAATTTTTTTACAATTTGTAGTGAAAATATCATTATAAATGTTATAGTGAATTAAAAAAATATTCAAATAAAAATCTAATTCAATTATATAGATTTACTCAAGATGTAAATACTTTAAATTATATGGTAATAATGAATTATGCAAAAAATAATAGTTTAAAAAATAATTTACCAAAAATAGTTAATGAAATTTGGATGTTAAATTATCAAAATTGTTTAGTATTATCAGTGGACTTGATGAAATACTTTATTCATTGTGATTTTCATAATATTAATATATTAAGTCAAGAATGAGAAATTTTATTAATTAGTAATTTAGGATTATGTAAAACTGTAAAGTATTATCAGTTATTTACTAAAAAAATGAAATTTATGGTGTTTTACCATTTATAGCACCTGAAGTTTTAAGAGGTCATCCTTATACTTTTGCCAGTGACATATATAATTTTTCTATAATATATGGGAATTAACATCTGGAATTTATCGATTTGATAATGAAGCTCATGATTTTCAACTTGCTTTAGAAATTTGTAAAGATAAAAGTTCTGAAATTATTGAAATACATCACAATGTTATATAAATTTAATGAAAATTTGTTGGGATATAAATCCATTAAAAAGGTTAACTTCATTAGAAATTAAAATCATAATTAAAAATTGGATTAAAAATATTAGTATTATAGATTATTATAATAAATCACAAAATATTATATTAGAATTTTACAAAGCGGATAAAATTTTAAAGCAAAAAAACAAAATAATAATTTAATTATATTTGAAACTAGTAATAATCTTATCACAAAATCTCATTCACAGGCATTTTATACAAGTCATTTACTTAATTTTACTGAAAAATTAAACAAAGTTTTAAATCAAAATAGTCAAAATACTGGTAATTATTTATAAATTTATAAATTATGAAAAAACATTAAAATAGATTTTAATAATATTCTTTTAATTATATAGAATCATTAATTATTACAGATAATAATAATATACTGTAAGTATATTTTAGTAAAATATAAATTTAAATTCAATTATACAGTATTTATAAAATCAAATTTAAATATTTTTTATTATATTTATCATTTAATATATATTTTTAATTTTTATGAAATATTTGTTTAATAAATAGAGTGATTCTTATAATAAAGAGTCTAAACAAATTTTTTATATATATAATTATTATAAATTATTGTATATAATTATTTATTAACAAAACATAAAATTTTAAAATTATTTATATTAAATTGCTTTTTATTTATTCTAAAAATTATTACAAAAATATGTACAAATTCAATTTAATTCCGGCCAAAGCTTTCAGATAATTTTAAGCCAAGGTGTAATCTTTGATTCCCGCCTAAAATCATCGAATTCATATTTTACGATTGATTAAGCATCATAAATAGTTGGAGGGAAATCATTTAAACGTTAGCAATCGAGTAAACTAGAATAGAGTAAGATTTCGTCTAAAATTACTAGGTTTAAGAATGGAAAGTCTTGGAATAGAATCCTTACCAACCCTGTTGACATTTAAAAAAATCTACGGTTACTATTAATGCAAACAAAAGGTTTTGAAAATAAAATTTTTTAACCAATAAGGTCCGACGATATTTTTTGGCAATTCATCCGAAAAATAAATATGCTGTGCTTCATAACATTGCCTTCAACGTTGAAATAGTGTAACCACATGGAAGCAATGCCAGTTAAATGGTCCAATCTCCTTTTACTGATTGCAAAAAAAGGAAAAAAAAAAAAATTTATTTTAAAATTAAATATGAATAATCGCAATTAAAGAAATTTTAATTATATTGACGATACGAAACGCGTGAAGGGTGAGGAGAGGTATTGGGAATATAAACAGTAGAGATAGGACGACTCATTCTAAAATTTGAAACTTGTGAAGCAGAAGCATCAGTGGCAACGCTATACCTATTAATATTATTAATATCAATATTGCTATCATCGACTGTAACAATACTATTTCTAATAGCAGTATTTCCATATTCGTTACTCCCAGGGGTAGGAATCACACCATCACTCCGATTCCAAATTTTTCGATGTATAAATACACCCGCTATAATTATTATGATTGTAAATGCTATTCCTGCACTAACCACTCCAACTATTAATCCAGCCGAAATATCACTTTTGCGTTGTGGAGGTATCGTTGATGTTGAAGCATTTGAATAAGAATATGAGGTGATCCATTGATAATTATTTGTGTCTAACATATATATATATGAATTCGTACTTGTAGGTGGTGTTAACTCATTAGTTATGTTACCTAATAAAAGTAAAAAAGAAAAGAAAAGAAAAGAAATGAGGATGATGCTTAATTTTTTGAAAGTAAGAATTTGAATTTACCGACCAAAAGCAACGATCATGTAATTCATGTAAAGGTCAGCGGTGTGACGTGTTAATGGAGGAGGAAGGTCCGGTCCGAACATTTGAACAGGTACTGACCATTCAAATGATTCTGTTTTCAACACAGCCAACACTGGCATTACCATTCTAAGGGTATCGGACGATCCCCCATATATTATGATTCTTCCATCCGATGTTATTACCGCTGAATGACTATGCCTCTTTTCTATTATCTCTCCACCCGCTATCTATATAATTATTTAGATTTTTTTTTTTTAAAAAAAAATTTTAATTCCTTTTAAAAATCATGATTGCTATTTAATACTTACCTCCTTGTACCATTTAGCTTCAAATGTATTAAATAGTGTAATCTTAAACAATTTTTTTTTTTTTTCAATAAATCAATTATTATTATTAACGTTAACAAAAACGGTCACATGTTTATAATGAATACCTCGTTCATTTCAACTAAACTCCTTGAAAATTGACCATTCTCTAACTTTCGGACATAACCACCAATAAAAGCAATCACCCCTCCATGTAACAAGACAGATGTATAAAGAGCTCTTGGTTCTCCAGGTATCATTGGTTCCCAACTAAAATCCAATGCGTTCAATATACGCAATTCCTCAAACCATATGTATTGACCCGAATCAGAATATTTGTTCCCGCCATAGATATAGACCTTATTACCTTCGCCAGAAACGATATCCACACCGATTCTACTACCCGGTTCCTCTCCTCTTATGGTTGGGTTTATCCATTGTTGTACACTTACATCAAAAACATTTATAGGATTATTTTTCACTCCATTTGATTCCCCACCAAATAATATTATATAATCCTTTGAGGTCGTTGCGCTTGCCAATGTTAATTCATTTACCAAGTTGATCGTTATTCCTATCCATGTTGGACTGAATGTATTAAATGAATTTTTCAAGTCTAAATAAAATATATCACTTGATGCATGTGATAGATCAGGAGTAGTAGACCCTCCTAATATGTATAGTCGGTCTTTTATTATCGCCGATGAATGATCAAATCTTGCATCTTTTATCGCTGATTCTACTAGTATTAACGAGAGTAATGCGATTAAAAACTGTTTAATACAATTATGACACATGAACATGATATTATATGGAAAAGGAGAAGAAAAAAAAAGATTGAATGATGGAGATATATACGTAAAAGAAGGGGGGAGGGGGGGAAATAAATTTCTCTACACCAATTTCATACTATTTATATAACAGATTGTCATTTGATTATCTAAATATATAGGTTAGGTAAAACGCCGATTATAGCCTCGAAACAATTAAGTTTTTTAAAAAAGGAAAATCAAATTCTTTTTAGGGTTTAGAAGGGTGGGGGTGACATAAATAAAATTAACGTCCCAACCTTTTTTATCATTTCATTTTAAAATGATCATAGGAAATCTCGCAGTTTTTTTCAATTGGCTTATTTTCCCATCGTGAAATCCAATTTTAATTTAACCATTTAGCTTGTAAAACAGAAATCTTTTTTTTTCTTTTTTTGTGAATCTTATATTTGAAAAGGCATTCATTCATTGGCGTGGTAAAATCATCCGTAACGGAAAATAGCAAGCGAATTATTATAATCTACTTTTGACAAAAGGATTGGTTATCACGTGATATCGCACCTTAACTCCTTTTAGAACACTTAAAATTTATTTTTCGGAAGAGGTTTTTTTGTATTAAGTAATGGTATATTAGATGGCATCATTAATAAATTGTTTCCTATAAAAAAAAAAATTCAAGTCTTCCATTGTGAAGAAATTTGTACCGCAGAAAGATCACCTTGAAACGCCAAACTGCATCATCGTGTCACAATTAAACACGTTCTACCCCTTCATAAGCCATCCCGAATATGAAACAGTTTTAAAAGCATGAACATCTCAGTAAATATATAAGGGGAACACAAAAAAACCGGTTCTTTTAATTTAAGAAATCCTTTAACCTTAAATAAATAAATAATGAATTATATAAATGGGCTGCATAGTAGGGGAATGGCTTCAAGTTTTGATATATATGGAAATATTCCATTACCAATAATTGATAATTCATGCATCATTATATTACTTACAGGTAATATGTGTTGTATATAAATAACCAAACCAACATACATATTTAATGTAAATAGGTAATGCATTTTTTTCGGGAGAAGCATAACCTTCTTTGAAAAAGAAAAAAAAAAAAATTATAAAATTTAATTACTATTTAACAGGCCGAAGGCGTATCTGTATATAATTTTTTTTCTTTTATGGAAAACCAAAAGTATACTAGCTATAGAGGCAGATCTCATCTAAATTAGAAAATAGAATAATTAAGTAGAATTAATTTAATTAAATTAAAATCGATGTCAAATGGTTTCTCATAAATACTTTTATTTATTAACTATATATATAATAACGACATTATTATCACTTCATAAACATTTAAATGTCATTAAATTTACGGACGCACAAGAAACAACATTTAGGCCAAAAGCAAGATATGCGCATACATCAACGTCAGTGGGAAAAAAACTATTTTTCTTTGGAGGATTGATTCGATTAGAATTAAATGCATCAATGATCATGTCAACAAATGATGTCTTTTACTTGGAATTATCACAACCATTTAATACAATGTCACCACCTTGGATAAATTTAAGCGATGTTTCGCCTCTACCGGTTAGGTTATCGTGGGCAACGTCATCATATGGAGGTGCAAATAATCGTATGATCTTTATTTTTGGAGGTACAATGCAAGCTGTTGAACCGGCGCAAGATTTAGGTTCTAATGCCTTACTTCCCGACTTTAAAAATTTGGTTTATTCTTTTGATACTCAATCATTTCAGTGGTCTATACCAATTATTTCTGGTGATGCACCTAATAGAAGAAGGGAATTATCTGCTGTTACTAATGATCGAGGAAAAATCCATTTTTTTGGTGGTAAAGCTGATAGGTTCACGGGATCTTCCATTGAAGGCGATTTCAATGAAATGAATGTGTTAGATAGTTTAACGTTAAATTGGGAGTTGGGAACGTTGGACGGTGCTCCTACCCCAAGGGATGGTCACACTGCTACGATCTTAAACAATGGTTTAATCGTATTCATCGGTGGAAGAGAAATGGCTGGACCTGATAACAATTTGAGTCTTGTAAATATGAGATCGGTACGTGAGTAAATTTTGTGCGACGTTGGAAAGTTATTGTTAAATTTTTATATTTTCATTTTCATTTTCATTTTCATTTCATTTTTTTTTTTTTTTTTGCATTTAGATCGATGTGTATGATACGAAGAGTGCAGAATGGTATTTCATAGTAAGTGTTTCGAGCAGAAATATTCTTTTCATTGAATTTGAAAACCAAAAGTATTAACCTTTACTTTTAAGCAAGCCGCAGGTCCATTAGTAGAAGGGAGAATTCTTCACTCTGCAGTATTAAGTGAGCGAAATATTACTTATTTCATCAGGGTGCATTTCGTTTCAGAAGTTAACTAGTTATGCATTGCAGTGCAGGATAATAGAATAATCGTCTATGGAGGAGTAAACAGTGAAAACGGCACTTCTTCTAGTCCAGTACTTGTAGTATTAGATACAAGACCACAACCTTATTTATGGAGCATACCGAAAATTTCCGCCACAATATTTCCTCCTCCTCTTATCACTCATACCGCCGCATTGGTTGGAGACTATATGCTCGTTGCATTTGGTATATTTTGATTCTCCTTTTTTTTAAAATAAAAAAGAAAAAAATTTGTTTTTCAAGAAAATTGAAACTAATAATGCGTATTTATAGGTAATATAACCAATACGATTACAAAGGAAAGGGCTATAAATAACGAAATGTTTTTATTAGATATTAGAACCTTTACTTGGGTAAATCGATTTGAACCATCTACCATAGGAAATTATTCAATTCCCATAGGTACTTTTCTTTTTAGTTTATTATTATTATTATTTTTTTTTTTTCCTCTCTTTCCTCTTTTAATGCATTTACTTATTAACATTTTTTTTTTTTTTTAAAAAAAAAAATTGTAAATATAGGAATTATAATAGGAGCATCGATTGGAGGAGCTTTATTTTTGGTGGCGTTAGGATTTGGTATTAAATTAATTTGTAAATGGCAAAGAATTAGAAGGAATAGGGTTCATAGATCAAGTTTGCCTATTCCCGTTAGTGGCAATAGATATCATATTAGATAGGTTGTATTAAAAAAAAAATAGAATAGATAATTGTAAATAAATTCAAAATCGTTATGGGAATATAATTTTATCGTCAAAGGAACTAAATCCACCTTTTCACTAAGTCAAGTAAACTTAATTTGATTACGGTCTATATTCTAATGAGATGTGTTTTATTTGTAAGAGATTAAAATCATCGAATCAAAACAAAGATTATAAATTTTATTTAAACCAGTTTTTGTATTATTATGATTTTATTTTTCAGTAATGTAATTACTTTAGATTCAATTTTAAAATATCGCTAATGTATTATTATTTTATCATGACGTACAATCGCCATACCGCATTGTGCCAATTACAGCTCTATAGGTGGAGGAGAAATTTGATTTAATATACTTATGCCATTCTGCTCTAACATATCAATTGAATCTCCAGATTTAAAAAAATCCTGATTTCATCAATATGGAAAGTTATAGATTGTAACATTTGTTTTTCGTTACAAAAGGTGGAGGATCCAAATAAGGTCTCGGATAACTCCGGCAAAGTCCGAAAGTTCGCGGGGTGGGGCGAATATCTCGGATCTATACAGATAAAAAAACGATTAGGATTAATGGTTTTTCCATCGAACCTTTCTTTAAATGGATGATATTTTGTTTAAATAAAATTTCAAAAAAAAACTTGAACTATTTATTATATGGGAGTGTTTCTAGGAAAATCAGGTTCCGAGAAATTTTTGACTAAAATAAAGAGCTTAATACATTTTAATCTAATAACATCAAAAACTAAAATGCAATAAAAATCTCAATTTTGCTAAAAAATTCCCGGAACCTGATTTTCCTAGCAATCAACCCATATTAATTTAAATCCTAAATCAATATGAACGATATGGTTATTCATTAATTAATTAAATGTAGTTTATTTTATGTTCAAATATAAAGTTGCGCGTGGCAAAACTCATTTTGGTAAATGTCAAAGTCGAAAACCCTATGTTTCGATTTTGACTAGTTTTATAGATTTATCATAGTTTCTAGTTTTGACGGTACTTAAGGGTTTTGCCACGCAAACTCAATTACAAAAGTAATTCTTTTAAAACTGCAAGTTAATGACATCCAAAAGTAAATTACATTTTTTTAATTTTTATTTATTTATTTCTTGAACAATTCGGTAGGAAGACAAATTGTTAATTTTTAATAATTAAACCCAATAGATTCGTTACATGTTAGTTAAATTTTGTCACAATCCTCGCAGTAAGTCAAACCACTTTTGTTTTTTCACCAGATTTTTCATGTAAGACTTCTTTAAAAAAAAAAAAAATTGAATCTTATCTTTGATACGGTACATTTTAAAGAAAATTCATGAATTCAAACTCAATTTATTTATTTTTTTTAATGGTTTTTTTTTTACTGATAGTAAATGCTTAAATTTGATTTGTCAATTTTTTTTTTTTGAAGAACTTGCTACCTAATTGAAGTAACGATTTTCATGTCGATCAGGTTGTGTATCAAAAATATAAAAATCGGACAATTGATTCCAACCTCCGAATAAATTTTCTTTTGAAAAGAAATTGATATTCTACCGAACCGACTTTTAAATGCCTTACATATGTTTTAAAAATACTTAGATCTGAAGGCAAAAGTTCAAAGTTCACAAAATTCGGAATAAATTAAATGGAATCTGAAGAAATTGATAATTCATTAGAACAAGATAATTATGAATATACATTTAATCGGTTTCAAAAAGCTGCCGAAAATGAAAATAAATTTGCACAATATGATCTTGCTCATCTATATTTAAAAGGTAAAGGGACTGAAAGGAACTTAGAAAAGGCCTTCTATTGGTATCAACAAGCGGCTGAAAATGGGGTTACTTTTGCACAAAATAATCTTGGTTATGCATATGAAAGAGGTGAAGGGACTGAAAAGAATTTAGAAAAAGCCTTTTATTGGTATCAGAAAGCTGCCGAAAATGGTTACGAATTTGCACAGAATAACCTCGGTTGTTTATATGAAAAAGGTGAAGGGACGAAAAAAAATATAGAAAAGGCCCTTTACTGGTATAAAAAAGCGGCTGAAAATGGTTATGAATATTCACAAAATAATCTTGGCTGGTTATATGAAAAAGGTGAGGAAATAGAAAAGGATCCAGAAAAAGCCTTTTATTGGTATCAGAAAGCTGCTAACAATGGACATGAAGTTGCACAAGTTAACCTTGGCTGTTTATATGAAAGAGGTGAGGGTATAGAAAAGGATTTAGAAATGGCCTTTTACTGGCATCAAAAAGCAGCTGATAAAGGTTATGAGGTTGGACAGTATAATTTGGGTGAATGTTATGAATTAGGTAATGGTGTTGAAAAAGATGTGCTGAAAGCATTTGATTATTATCAAAAGGCTGCTAATCAAGGATATTTAAGTGCAAAATTTCAGCTTGGATATTGCTACATAAATGGAATTGGAACAGAAATTAATAAAGAGAAAGGATTTGAGTTATATAACGAGGTAGCCGGAACAAAAGATTTTGATGTAAACAAATTATCTTATGATAGATTAATTAGTGATTTGGAGAAAGTTAACTATTGGTATCATATGGCTGTAAATGATGATAATAAAGTTGCATTATATAATTTAGGTGAAATTTATGAAACAGGGGAAGGAGTTTGTAAAAATTTGGTTAGAGCATTTGAATTTTTTACGAAATCGGCTAATCAAGGATATTTGGAGGCTCAATATAAGGTTGGATGTTATTATGAGCATGGGATTGTAGTTGACGTTGATAATGTTAAGGCATTTGATTTACTTAAAACAGCTGCTGAAGGAGGAAATAGCAATGCACAAAAATGTCTTGCAATTTTGTATGAACAAGGGGAAGGAACAGAAAAGAATATTAAGAAAGCTATAGATAATGAATGCTTAGAGGTTAAAGAAAGTTTGGATAATCTTATATTGCAACAAAAAAAAATACAATGATGAGAATAAAATCAATTGTAATTAATGTAAATGTAAAATTTAATATAAAATAGTCTGATGTTTTTAATAAAAAATTGCAAGAACTTTTTTTTTTTGATAAAATTTAAAATTTATATTTTTAGAAACAAATTTGAAAGATCTGCAAAATGACAAATGATAACTTGAAAAAAGTAGTTCGAAACAAAATTATGTATATACGCAGCTATCTACCTTTACAATATGGCTAATATGTACTGTATTATTTATACTTAGACACTCCGGTTAAAAAGAATGGCTGAACGACAGTTTGTATAAATTTGTTAATAATGTGCATATCAAAACTAATTCTACATTTTTTCTAATTGATTAATATTTTTATAACTTCCGTCTACTTTGGCATTCTATTGATGTAACACGGGATCATCCCATTTTATGTCAAGAAAAATCTCGCAATTTTTCCATCAAATACTTAATCTTTCTCCCGATATTCCCTTTAAAGCAGCCTATAATGAAATTTCTTTCGCAACACGAATAAGTACGTTTTGTACTTTTAACAAATTTAGTTGAATTTGAAGGCTTCTTTGTGCGAGTAGGTAAATAATAATAAAATTCCATTGTCTGATTTGTAAAATATAAAATATTAATATTAGCCCATATTATTTCACCAGGAATAATTCTTTGTAATATTGCTAATTGAAGATGCAGCAAACTTTATGTAACATAAAATAAATTATATTTGGTTCATGCAGATTAATGAAATGCGCCCTGCCGTGAAACAATAATTTTACCAATAATTATATAAGATTCCAACTTCTGAACTCCGTATAGACAAAAAAAAAAAAAAATGTCGGATCTTGAAGAATCGATTGAGTGGTTAGAAAAATCAATTGCTGAAAAATATTTCAATTATTATGAATATTTGGACTTCAAGAATATACAACCAATAGGAAATGGTTCGTTTGGAATCGTCATGTGTGCAAATTGGAAAAATACTGATCGTCTTTTCGCTTTGAAATCTTTTAAAAATGATAAAATTACAATTAGAGAAGTTGTAAATGAGGTACTAATGTTGTAATTTTTAAAATACTTATTAGCGAAATTAAAATTAATTTGTATTTAATGTCTTTTAGATAAAATTACATCAGCGAGTTGATATACATTCAAATATTTTACGTTTTTATGGTATCACAAAGGAAGTAAATGGTAAATATTAAATATAATGCAAAATTTTTATTAAT